GGTAATAGTATCATAAACATTTCCATGTGAAACTTCACCAAACCAAAGGATATTAACAGAAATTCTTCTCACGGATTACTCAACCTTGGTAACCTAACACTATATGCCCCAGTTAAGGCATGGTCAAAGGACGCATGATAATTGATGATAGCTCAAAACTCCAATTATCAGCTGTCAACAACTATCATGCGCGCGTGGTAAAATGGTACAAACTATCATCGACTATCATGAATAATTTAATCAGGCAAAAGTGAATGATAGTTAACAATTATTCCACGAGTGCTGGGTTGGATACGAGTTGGCTATAATCATCTCATATCCAACAAGCGCGAGTCGAATAATTGTTTTATTAAATACGCCCACAAAATCTCGAAGAATCTCCCCGACTTTATTTTGTTAGATCAAACTGGAAAAGACAAGGTACTTCCGCTTTTCACGTGTCACACGTCTATCAAAACTGTCATCGCGCGAACAGACTGGATGAATGAAAAATCAATACATTATTACACTTTTAAAAATACATCGGCATTCTTGGATTGTACACAGCAGGACAGCTAAAAACCTTGCCGGTAATGAGAACAAAATAATTTTGAAGTGCAGCGGGCGAAATTACTGTAAATTTGGCTTTTGAGGCAGTTACGAAAGAAGAACGGAGAAAAACTATTGCCTTAGTCGCCATTCAGAAACTCACTAGACTGCAAAACAGTCCGTATTTTTGCGTATTCAAGTACGCGCGAGCAGTCAAACGACGCTGAAAACAGAGAGTGAGGCTCGCGCGCTTCGCGCGCGTAAGACTCTTACGCCACGCTTTACCGATTTCTTTACTGATTTTGAGAAAAAAACCGACTGTTTTGCAGTCTAGAAACTCACGCAAAGCTTGTTATGAAGTTGTTTGAAGCCGTCAGCTGGTTTTGCTAAACGAAAGAAAAAGCTATACTGACGTCTGGATTGCTGTAGTGATGGCCGCATAGCCTGTATTTGTAGCTAGTTGCTTGTGATTTATACTTTTTATGTCGGATAAACAGGCTGAAGCCAGTTATCTATCGGCGAGTGGCTTCGCGATTATGAAGAAACAATACTTGTCTTCTTTCGTAGCTGGTTGAGGTATTTTAGTGTCATGCATTTTTCGATAAACTTTCAAACAAACTCTTGTGGCTTTTTTATTTGTTCGTTTTGTTTTCCTAGTATTTTAAGAATTAAAACGATCTTCTTCGGGCGCCATTTCATCCTTCCCGAAAAAATTCTCCGCTTGCTTCCCATTTTGAACTGAAGTGTTCACTGACCATATAAGGAAAGCATGCTATAATAGCTTATAAACCATGATGGCTAAGCCAATCAAAACGCTAGAATTGCATTATCCCATGACTCAGTTTTTAATAATTCATGATAGTCGATGATACTGCATAACAGTTCGTGGCCAAACGAGAGTGCAAGTTTTAACTATCACCAACATTTGACCGATGCTTTATGAACTCCGGTAATGAACGTAAATAGTAATAATGCATTGAATTGCTCAAACTTGGATTCTCTCGTAAGGCCATGCTAAACTAGAAAAAATCGTTTGGGAGGCAAATGTTTCCCAGTTTAGCGGAACGGGAAATATACGTTGCGGAAACAAATTTTGCCGCTCGGCCAAAAGAAAATGCTTTTGCCTTAGGTCAAGAACATTTTTGCTTAGCATACACAAAGTTTGCTTCCGAAACATCTGTTTCCCAGTTTTGTCAGGAAATATGGCAAGAAACAATGTTTCCTAGTTTAGCTAAGCCTGTAAGGAAGTTTTCTTACGAAGAAGTACTCTTTTGACAATCCTGAACTCAATTGTTAGAGTTCAAATGAAGCATTTGCCGATTTATTGGAGGTTTTACAACTTACATCCTAAAACCTTTATACCGAAACAATAATCACGTGCTTAAGGAAATTGTTAATGTTTTTTGATTCGTGGCGTATCAAGTTTTTTCTGTGAAAGTGAAAGCAAAATTCCCTTGAAGGGAGCTTTTCTAACCAGACACGTTGATCCGTTAGCTCCGATCGTTTCCCCTAGATATTTTTTACCGTAGAAAACAACTTTTGTCAACGGATGTTAGGCCGATGCCGGGTTTCTTAAATTTTGCAGGCCGCACTGTAAAATACGGACAGGAAAGTTGACTAATCATAGAGCTTACTAACTGAGAGATATAATAAATGTACTAATGGACCGTGAATCGTATGTGACGGCCGTAAAACCAGGATGATGGTACTTATACAACGTATGGACCACATACTACACTTCACTGCTCGCTTACATGATAAGTTTCTCACTGTTATTGGACCGTCATGCAAGAATAGGGACCTTACGATCCGACAACGGCGACGGCAACGGCAACGTGAGAAGTCTGGGTCGAGCGGGGCCACGTCGTGTTGGCGTTCCCGCCAAAATTAAGATTACGAATTTTACAAGCGAGAACGTTGACGACGGTCATTGATGTTTATCGTGTTTAAGTCAACGAAAGTTTTTTAGAAAGCCATACCAAAGTTCCGTGACACTATTCTCCTGGCTCATGCTTCCCGTTTGATTAACGCTGAAGAATTCGTGCTACTCTACGATTTACACAAGCCTAAAAATCCGGATTTACCGTACACTAACTGGGAGTGCTTCGATCTCGACAAGATGACCGATGATGAATGTAAAACTGAGTTTAGATTTTACAAGAATGACATTTACAACTTGGCAGAGGTGTTTACTTTACCGGATCGGATCGTTTGCTACAATGGTGTAAATGTCGACATGGTTGAGGCATTGTGCATTTTTCTTAAAAGATTTGCCTATCCCTGTAGATACGTAGACATGATACCCAGATTTGGAAGGCCAGAACCACAATTGTGTATGATCTCAAATGCTGTTATGAACAAGATGTATGAAACATGGAACCGCCTTCTCACTGATTTGAACCAGGATTGGTTAAGACCCGATCATTTAGAGGAGTTTGCCGTTGCAGTTCACAACAGGGGAGCTGCTCTTGACAACTGTTGGGGGTTTGTTGACGGTACTGTGAGGCCCATATGCCGACCAGGACAAAACCAAAAGTGCTTATACAATGGTCACAAAAAAGTCCATGCTATAAAGTTTCAATCTATCGCAGCACCCAGTGGCCTTGTTGCCAACCTGTTTGGGCCTGTCGAGGGAAAGAGACATGACAGTGGGATGTTAGCTAGATCTGGAGTGTTAAACCAATTGCAACGATTTTCAGTGGACACAAATGGGAACCCCCTATGTATTTATGGAGATCCGGCATATCCTCTTCGACTACATCTGCAAGGACCTTTTCGAGGAGCTGGACTAACTCCCATACAGTCTGCATGGAATGAATCTATGAGTGAAGTCAGAGTTTCTGTTGAATGGATTTTTGGTGATATAATAAATTATTTTAAATTTCTGGACTTCAAAAAAAACTTGAAAATAAGTTTAAGTGCTGTTGGCAAAATGTATGTGACATGTGCCCTTCTTCACAATGCTCGTGTTTGTTGTTACGGATCCACCACATCAGACTACTTTGATGTTTCTCCCCCAGAAATTAGGGATTATTTTCACTAAGTCTGCCAAACAGGTTTTACAAAAGTTACATAACACTTTTCCTTTCGAAAATTGAACTGCTTTTTAATAAAAAAAAATTATACAATCGAGAAAGGCTAACATATTGGAATTAAAGTGAAATAAATGCCACCAAAACAAACTATTAAATGAGAACAAATAATGGTGAGCATGTTTACAGAGAGTAATGCAATTCTATAGTTGGATAAGCCCTATTGCCTTGATAAAGGCTCAGCCCCAGTTTTGATACTGGCATAACATCAATTCGGCGACTTTCAAAGGTTGGCAAAATTAAGCAACATTTCCTTTACAACTATATATGTAAACAAGTAATTATTATTATAAATCTTTAATTTTTAACTTCCTTGAAAATGTTCAAGTTAATAAAAATGTGAACTCTTTGTGCATTTAAATGACCTCTTGCAGAGATTGACCAGCATCACTTCCCAGCAAACTTTTTCATTAGTTCCATAAGTGCAAGGGTTTGTTGTTGGTGCTGTTGCATCATGTTTGCATTCATTTGCATAAACTGCTGCATTTGCTGCTGCTGAAGCTGCTGAATATCTCTAGTTTGCTTGTTCATCATATCAAACTGCTGTTGTCTTCCTTCCTGCTCCTTTGCTTGCAGTGCTAACTCTTGCCTTTTTATCTCCAATTCATCACGTTTTAAAGTAGCTTCTACTTCTGCCCTATCCTTCAGGTAAGCCAGAGTGCTTGCACCACTAGCTCTACCCTTTTTCGGTCTTGCTCCTTGCTGTTCATCGGCATTCCTTTTGGCGCTATCTTTAAAAGTTTCCAATGATCTCTTCCGCATTTCCTCTGCTTTCTTTGCTTCTTCTTCCTGCTTTTGTTTTGTTTGATCTGTGATTTTGTCAGACTCATCAAAGAGTTCAATGGTTTCATCTAACAGTTGATCTAGTTCCTTGTCCTCTTCAGGGGCAATACCTGAGGCTCTGTCTTCTTCCCTGACTTTTTTCCTTCTTCTCTTTTCCATTGTTGAATAGTGGTCACGAACAGACCGTTGAGTAACACGGAATTGGGGATAAGGAATAGCATTTAAGGATACTGCCAGCTTTTCCCAATCATCTCCTCTCTCACTAGTTCCTTTCTTGTGCAGCCATGGCTGCAAAAGCATCAATTCCCTCAACATAAGCAATTCGTGTTCTTCAGTCCATTTCATTGATTGACTGAAAGTGCAGTGCAACAAAAATTACTTCATGAGGAAGAACTATCAGTATATCAGCAAAATTTGCTAACAATAAAATTATCATTGTATCTGAGATTTACTAGCACTTGGTCCTAATCATGATCAAAATTTTTAAAACAAATAACATAACTTGCTTTGGGTGGTATTAACTAGATCATCATAATATTAGACAATATCTTTGTTTTCTTTAGTCCTCCAATAAATTAGCTGAACTTGTTGACAGAT